GATGTACTTTAACTTGCTCCTCCTCTTGAAGATCGTGCGTCCAGAAAAACTTGGGAGATATGTGCTTCATCTTGTCACCCTTGATGAAGCCAGACTGAAGTTGAGCAACGCAGGCTGCATTGTCTTCAAATATAGTAGTTGGCTCAAGGTCATCAGTCTTCAGGCCGGTAGACACTAAGATGTGCTGAATGACAGAACGAAGCCAACACATTCTTTGCTGGTTCAATTGGATCGCGAGGATTCGGAAAATTGGGTGATGAGATTGCTACAGTAGTTGCTTAATAGACCTCCAGGACGATGCCGTACACCGATTGTAAACACAATCCGCCGTTTGTGATTTTTCGGTGTGGGGATCAGACCTGTAACCTGCATCTGAATAACCATTAAGGTGGGAGACCACCCTTAGCGGAAATATATCCAGGTCTATAGACCCTTGGAGGTAGCGCAGAAGATGCTTAACCCCATTCCAGTGTGCGCTTTGTGGGCGCTGCACGTTGTATCTGGCTAGAAGGTTAACTGAAAACGCTATATCGGGACCGCGTACAATTAGCCAGATATAATAGTCTCAATGACACTGAGGTAAGGTACTTCAGGACCTAGCATTTCCTCCCCCTCTTCCAGCGGACGCGAAGGCGTCGTTGTTACATCCAATGATCGAACAACCATTGGTGTACTAAGAGGATGACAATTTATCCATTCGGAAATTTTAAGTAATGTGTTTAAAGCAAGTACATAGGCCAAAGGCCTATGATATATATTTATACTAATCAATGTGAATAGGTTGAGTACCCAAGAGTCACCCTCACTTAATGGGGTGTTACATCACCATAATGGGGTGTGAATGGAGGGATAATGAGGGGGAGGCCAAAGGCCTCCCTCATCTCATAATATATTAGAACTTCTCGCTCTTGTTTTATTAGAAGTTTATCCATTCAAATGACAACTTTGCCATTGTGTTAAGATTTGATATCTTTTTCACCACAATGCAAGTGTCCTCTGAGTATCTGGAGGTTTTTGGTATGAAAACTTTTGAACAAAAGGACGTGTGTATCTTATAAATTCTATTTTATATGGTGAATTATATTTTTAGATCTTCAAAATTAAAGAAATATATATTTTTTTTAATGTCAAAATGATATGTTTAAGAGGTGGTACCAGAAATGACCACGTAAATTTGGAAGGTCTCTTTTGTAGGTAACCAATTTAAATTTGGAAGGTCTCTTTTGTAGGCAACCAATTTAAATTTGGAAGACCTCTCTTGTAGATAACCAATTTAATTTTGGAAGGTCTCATTTATAGGAAACCAATTTGCAACCTCTTATAATAGGATGTTTTTTTTATGTGTATGTAGTATGAAATATACTTTAAGATACGAAATCCTATTAAAAGGTTCTCTTGAATGCTTTGCATGTATTAGTAATTTCATTCATGTATGTGCATATGCATGCATGGTATTGAATGGTTAAAGGGGTTGCTCATAGAAAAGGATAAAGAATATTGAATTTTTTCATTTAAAATGGATTCATTTACACCGTTCTCATTACCTTTCAAATTGACATGGAAAATGGATATGTGTTGTTCCATCTCAGAACTTCAAATGTCTTTGGTTTTGTTTTGAATGACCACTGGCTATTTAACACATTAAAAAATGTGTTAGTTTTACCTCATGTTCTCTTTGAAGTTCATGAAATAACATGTCATCTTTTATGCTCATAGACCATGATCTTCTATGCTAACATGTTTTGATAGTGACTAGAAAGAATTATTTTATAGCTCTTCATTTGGCTACATGTATAATGCTTTCTCTTGAGATTTTAGGAAATGATTAGAGTTGATATAAATATGCTCTATCAACTAGTATGTTTAGTTACAGGAGATGTGATGAATCAATATCCTGGAAAATCAAATCAAGAGGTATATCTTATAACTTCTTTCTATCTAATGAATAAAAGTTATATTAAAATTAGTCCATCAAATAATTGAATTGTTATTAGGTTCCATTATCCTTATAAGATGTTTCAAATTAATCTCTCCTCTTGCTACATGTACTCTTGCCTGGAGAGACTAATTTTAAAATAACTCAACAAGAAGGAGACCTAATGTCAACTTCAAACAATATGAATGACTAATTATAAAATATATTAAGAACTTGATAAATCTATACAACGCTTGCTATGCAAAGTTGTGATTCTAGATTTTGTAAAGTCTGAGAAGAATTTTAATGATCCATTGACTAAATGTCTATTCAAAAGTATGGTTTTGGATTCATCGAGGGAGTTAGGGTTAAGCCCATAGATGAGGTCACTAACAGGGGCAACCTAACCCTTATTTGGAGACATAGTCCCAATGTTGGTTCAATGTGGTAGAAACAAGCTGGACTAGTGACACTCGTTTGGAGCATTGATCTAGATATATTTATATATCATTATGGTAGCATCTGCTACTTTCCCTTCTCTATGGTGACGATACTCTTATGATACAGTTGGTTAGGCTGAGTTTTACTCTTAATAAGTCCAACGTATGTATTATTGGGGGTATTAAATAACCAGTTGTAGTACCCTTTGAGGACTTACCTACGTGAGAGAAACCGTGATGGTCGCGGTTGGGAAGGGGGTGGGCTAACCCCTAGAAACTCTCATGAATCGGTTATTGTGAGCATAACCTTTATCGCTCAACCCGTTTTGCTTAATAGATGAAGACGTATTGTGTGTGTGCGTTTTATCAATACCTGATTCAAGTGGCCTACTTCAAGGCCTAGTCCATTATGTCCCTCAGGTGGCGATGAACTCACTAAGAAAGGTTCAAAGCCGAAAGCTACCTCTCCCGAATTCATGATACGAAAGGTTGCCCAACGCCCAACCTATATTTGTTTTGTGATTTTATTTTTGTCTTGAGTTTTAGTCAATATTGCCTTGTG